TGGCAGGGGGGTTGGAGACTCATGATCCTTGAGGTCCCTTCCAACCCTGGCAATTCTGTGATTCTGTGATTATCCCGTTGCAGCCAAGAGCACAGCATCGGCCTCCTGCACCAGGAGGTCAAAATTTCCCTTGTTGATGAATTATGGGTGCAAACACCTGCGCTGGGGGTACAGCACTGGGGTCCCACCACCGTGCAGAATCAACGTGCTGGGAGCAATGGGGTTGGTGGGAGGAAGCAGGGATGAGGGGCTTGGGCACATCCTTTCCACAGGGCCAGACCCACACAGCTCTGCCAGAGGGCCCGGAGAAGATCGAGCGGCGTTCAGACTGCACACGGGACCCACCGGCCCAGCAGCGCTCTGCACAACTCTCGAGGAATAGCAGGAGTGGCTTTACACCATCGCGGCTTGCTTTACACCATTGGGCCCGGCATAAGCGCAGCACCAGACACCGGCGCGGCTCATCCCCAGGCACCCCACCAGCACAGCCCGCAGCCCATTTAGCGGCGGGGGAACACCGCCCTGCCACAGCGCCGCGCCAAGGCCCGGGGCCGCAGCAGCGTCCAGCAGGCTGTGCGCCATCCCGCACCCGCACGTGGCCGAGAGCCGCTCCCGGCCGTGCGAGCAAATGGGCGCGGCGGGAAGGAAGGGGTTCTGGCAGCGGCCCCGGGCCGCGCCGAGCTGCCGGCGCTGACCTGCGGGCTCCGCGCAGCCTTCGGGGCCGTGGGCGTGCGGACACCCGCACCGCCTGCACGCCGGGCTGTGCCGGTTCACCCGAGGCGAACGGCTGCCGCCCTCTCCGCTAATTGCTCTGTGCTGTGCTCCTGGGGGAGGCTGGTAATTAGGCCGGTACCCGATAGATAGCGGGAGGGAGGGGGAGGAGAGGTTGAAGAAGAGAGAGGATTCGCTCCTTTTAACTTGATGAAATGTGCTCCGACTGGAGATAATGGCACGATTGGCACTTAGCGCCTCTCAGCCCGGTGATTTACAGGCAATCGCGGAGCCCGCTGGGGAGGTGCTTACAGCCCCATTTCGCAAAGCCGGCGCGGGGAGCGGACGCCGAGGGCCGGCCCCAGCCCAGCGCCGCGCCGCTCCCGCCCGAGCTGAACGCCGGCGGCCGGCACAAATGTGAGCGCGGCACTGGGCTGACAGCAGCCCCGGCCCCGTTGCCCGGCCCCTCGCCTTCAGCCCGCCCCCGGCCCGCCGCCCGCCTCTGCCGCCGCGCAGGCGCCGCTCCGCCGCTGCCCGGGCTGTGGCCGCGGCCGTGGCCCGGCGGGCTGCGGCGGGCAGCATGCGGCAGTCCCTGACTCAGCAGCGGCCGGGCGGCATCGCCCTGCCCGACTCCGTGGGTGAGTGGGGGCCGTACCGGGACTGGGGCCGGGCCGCCACGTCACGCGGCGGGGCGGAGGGGCGCGGGGCCGCGTCCCCGCATAGCGCGGCGGGGGCTGCGCCGTGCCCGTGGGCTTGGGGCGGTCGGGGCAGAGCCCGGGCACGGCGGGGCGGCACGGCGGCGTGCGCCGTCCCGAACTCGGCGAGCCGTGCCGGGAAGCCCCGCTGGCAGCTCGCGTTCGGAGCGCCCGTGGCCGCCGTGCGAAGCGGGCGTTGCGGAGGTCTGACGCGGGAAGCGTCGCTTTGAAGCCGGCGCGCGTTCCGTTTCGGCGAGAGGAGCCGGAGCGGTGTGCGCGGCACCGACTGCGTGACACCGTTCTGACGGCCGGGCACGGCGCTGCGTGTGCGCGCAGCCCGCACTGCCCGCCTCGGGGCACCGGGCGCGGGCTGCGCTCCGGAGAGGCGTGGAGCTGCGCTGCGCCGGCCGGGGCGGGGGGCGAGTCGGTGTTCTCGGTGTGCGTCTCGGTTGTGAGCTAGGAAATAATGCAAACGTGTCGGTGATGCCCCGTCCCTGGAGGTGTTCGAGGCCGGGTTGGATGGGGCCCTGGGCAGCCCGGTCTGGTATTAAACGAGGAGTCGGTGGCCCTGCGTGTGGCAGGGCGTTGGAGATTCGTGATCCTTGCGGTCCCTTCCAACCTGGGCCATTCTGTGAAATAAGCTCCAAACGCGCAGGCAGCGTGCTTTGGGCTAAGTGTTTGCTGTCACCTCGCACTCATCCCGCCCCACAGGGTTGCCCTGTACGGCCGCTGTAAGGAGCCCGGCTGTGCGAGGAGCGCTTACCTCACGTTGTGGGGGCCAGCAGTCGGTGACTGCGGTGCTTTTAGGTGTCCTGGAGCGCTGCAGAAGCGCTGGTGTTTGGGAGGCAGCAGAAGGGTGGGATATGGAATCATAGAATTATTCAGGCTGGAAAAGACCTTACAGATCATAGAGTCCAAATGCCATTTCCCCTCGTCCTGTCACCAGTGAGAAGAGACCAACCTGCTCTCACTGCAATCACCTGTCAGGTATCGGAAGAGAGCCATAATGTCTCCCCTCAGCCTCCTCTTCCCCAGACTGAACAGCCCCAGTTCCTTCATCTCTCCACATAGGACACATCCTCCAAGCCCTTCACCAGCCTTGCTGCCCTTTTTTGGACCTGCTCCAGCACCTCCGTGTCCTTTCTGTACTGAGGTGCCCAAAACTGAACACAGCACTCGAGGTGAGGCCTCACCAGTGCCGAGCACAGGGGCAGGATGACTTCCCTGCTCCTGCTCACCACAGCACTGCTGATCCAAGCCAGGATGCATTGGGCTTCTTGGCCACCTGGGCACAGTGCTGGCTCACATTCAGCCAACTGCCCATCAGCACACCAAGGTCCCTTTCCATCAGGCAGCTTTCCAGCCACTCCTCCCCAAGCCTGTAGGGTTGCCTGGGGTTGTTGTGACCAAAATGCAGGGCCCGACACTTGGCCCTACTGAAACTCATACAGTTAACCTCAGTCCGTCCATCCAGTCTATCCAGGTTCCCCTGTAGTGCCTTTCTCCCCTCAGGCAGATCAAGACTCCCTCCCAACTTGGTGTTGTCTGCAGACTTAATGAGGGTGCACTCAATCCCCTCATTAAGATAATGAAGATGTTAAATAGAAGCAGCCCCAGTACTGAGCCCTGGGGGGCAGAGCTTGTGACCGGCCGCCAACTGGATTTAACTCCATTGACCACAGCTCTTTGGGCCCGGCCATCCAGCCAGTGTTTCACCCAGCAGAGAGTACAGCCATTCAGACCAAAGGCAGCCAGCTTCTCCACAAAGGTGTTATAGGGGACAGAGTCAAAGACCTTACAGAATCTTCATGAATTGTAACACGGAGAAGTCTAGGTCTTATGCTACTAGCTTATTTTCAGATTTGGGAGAATAAAATGAGAGTGCTGATAAAAGGTGCTGCCTGGGCTGCTCCAATAGTTATTTAGCTGCCTAGATGTTAATTGTAGCTAAGAGGTCCTTGCTTTTGGTCCTTGCAATGTCCCCATACTGCAATTACAACTGTTCTTAGGATCACCAGCAGGAGGCTTAGAGGAGCATTTCTTC